GATGCATCAGGACATATACATGTAAAGTTGTTTTTAACTTTCTGGGACATTTTATTCTTTTTTAATGTTTAAAGTGTGGAAAACAAGCAAAATGGTGAAAAAGTGACCCCCACTCTTTTTATTTTTTTTAAACCAAGTAGTCTGACAGAGACAGGAGGGAAAAAACAGCTAATTTAGTTTTTATTAYTTTGTTGGAACTGATTTTACTAAGATGAATCGTCTGAATCCTGATGGGTCTTTTTGGTTTGATTTGGACTCATTTGAAAAGTTATTAAAAATGACAGAACCTTCTACAAACCAAACCAGAGGCAGGTTTTACAGTCAGGCAGGAGTCAGAAGTTTTTAATGTCAGTTTCTTTTATTTGTTGGATTAATAATGTTTGTTTCTGCTGTTTCTGAAACAAGATGTTAAAAAACAGCATTTTGTTTGAGTGAAATGAAACGAGAAGCACATCAGTGTTACAAACCTGATTCTACTTTATTTATTTATATTTATGACAGTTTGGGAAATTAAAAAATAACTTTTTTATATAGTTAAACCCCACACTGCACTGACCAAAGTGCTCCTGAAAGCACAAGAAAATCATAAAATTTGTTTTTTTGAGTTCATTCTCCTCCTGTTCGCTCAGCGCTGAGGTAAACTGGTGTCAGTACTTAAAATAAAAACCAAACAAAATAAAACAGCAAAAACTCAGTTTTCTCTCCATTCTGCCTCTGATTGATGAAAATGTTGTAAATCTTTATTTCCGTCCGAAACTCAAACTTTTTTCTTGCATTTCTTAAATTTTAGAGATTTTTTTTAGCTTTATGTTGCTAAACTTCAGATCCAGTTTGTAATATTTATTTATTTTATCGTAGGATTTATTGCACTTTGTAATGAATGTGTGAATAATTAAATGATTTATAAACCTGTAAAAATCCACCAGCTGTCTCATCTGTGTGACCAAATAAATAATCTGGAATCAGTGACGGATATTTTTTTGCTAAAGATCTTTTTTAATCCCAACATTTTAACATCCTAACATCATAACGTCCTAACACCCCAACAGTTTATCCTTTTAATAGTAGTTAATTGAAAAACTAAGATTTTAGGTTTGTTTGAGCATTGCATGTATCAAAGTTTTTAATTAGTAGGAAGCCTCGTTGCATTACCTGTTTATTTAAAGCTTATTACAAAACAAACCCTTTTAAAACCAGGCTAAATTGTTTTAGACAATTAAACAGCTAAATAAAAAGAATTGAACTTAATGCAGAAATGTTAATGAGATTGCAATTAAGCTTGGTTGCTTTAATGTTTGTTGTTTTCTTCTTTGTTGGCATTTTGTAAAATGTTTTGAAAAWGGTTTYAATCTATTTTGTTTGCTGTAGARYCTGTATTTCTAGTTAAAGGTCAGTWTGTTCTTTAAATTGTGTTACATGTATTWGGTGTTTGCCTTATTTCTTTTTACAAAATCTGGCTTTTATGAAGTTAAGCTTGTTAACTTTTTAACGTTTTCCTATATTTAGGATTCAAATCTTTTAACGGAGTCAAAACTATTTAAAAAAATCACTTTTCCGTTTGATAAAAGTTTGTTTAACTTGAAGCACAAACCTTCACAGGGTGCTTGCAGCACCGTCTGCTATTAATTTTAAGCTTTTATTAAACTCATTTACAACAAAGTGTTCATTCAGCTGATGAGTTCCTGTAAAAAGGAGTTAAAAGAATTTGTAGGAAAATAATTAGAAATAAACCTTTTATTTTAGAAGAGTTAAATGTGTTGTTAATGCTTTTATTTTTGTTTAAAAGAAAGATTTGTGCGTTAAATCATTTTCTAGTTTGGTTTAGTTGTTGAGTCTCTGATTTTTGTTCCCCATATTCAACGACTGATAAAAACATTGAAGATAAAGTTGGGTTTTTATTGTGGAATTAGAGCTTGTCTATCTTTTGAGAGTAGAAAARGTCTTATTGCAGACAGGTTTTCGCCCATCTTAGACTC